AGAGATTTGTCTGCCTTGGCCTCCTGAGTGCTGGAATTAAAGGCATGCACGCAGTTCTCCTTAGCTTTTTTAACAACTGAAAAAGAAACTACCCCATTGTCATTTTAGATATGGAAATGGAAACACAGAGAGCACAGATAGATAATTTACCCCAATAACTTAGACTACTAGAGGATGCCCAGCCAGGCTTGGAACTCCAGAACCTTGGTTTTAAACTTTACTGGTTTTTGGGGACCAGACTATGAAGTAGTCCTCTTTTTCCAAGTGTCCCTGCTGGAATCCTACCATTAATGCAATGTGTCACTGAACTTTGCTGCTGAAAAGACTTCAGTACTGAGTTGTTTCTACTCTCATGCAAAGGAACAACTTCCTATAAACTGGGTCAAGCACTTCTAATGATGGGAGCACACTCCTGCCAGAAGTAGTCAGTGGTGGCAACTCTAACTGCTAATAAATCAGGAAGTGCTGCATGCCTTCCATGTGCCACACACTCGGCCGCAGCATGGAGCGCTTTGTAGAGGCGCTTTGTAGAGGCTCAGCCTGCCTCTTCTACTTCCTCTACCTGCTGTGTCTGCTCTTTGTAAACAAGGTGTCCATGGTTCTCTGCATTTCCTAACAGCTCTTTAAATGCTTGAAGCTGGAATAAAGCTCTCCTTAAACTTTCTTCTTGTGCATTCAGTCTGTTTTCATACCACAGTCCCTAGGAGACATTCACTTTTCTTAACTTGTATTTAAGATCCAAATGCAGGAGGGCAGCTTGCTTCCTTTTCCATGAGCTGTCCTGAAGGAAAGGGAGTTACCATCTGAGAAGAGGGGCAAGAAGACGCTGAGGCCTGAGGCAAATGGCAGCAGGCAGGGTCAAGGGTCAGCTCCAAGTTTAGAAAAGATGATATAGTGGAAGGGGGCAGTGGAGATCCACAGTTCTTGAAGACTAGAGAAGACATGCTAAGAGTCTGAAATAGTAGTTTGAGGGCTTCAGAAGATGACTTTATGGAAAAATGCTTGCTGTACAAGAATAAGTTTGTACTTCAACCATGAATGTAAAAAGACAAGTGTGGTGGCCCTTGATTATAATCCCAGTGCATGGAAGGTGGGCCAGGCAGATTCCTGGAGCATGTTGGCCAGCTAGCTTAATTGAATCTGCACCTGCAGGTATGCAAGAGACCCTGTCTCAAAAAATAAGGTAGAAAAGAGACTGGGGAATGCATCCATGCACACACCCACACACACCCACACCCACACCCACACCCCCCCCCACACACACACAGAGTATGAGCAGCTATGGAATCCTGGCTGTATGCTTACTGGGCAGTTTGCTTGGTTTTCTTTCTTCATCCTCATAAGAGATATGAACCAGGTTTCACGATTACCCATATTCCATTAGACCAAGAAAACTGACGGCCAGAGACATAAAATAACTTGTCTAGAAAACAGTAGTCAGTTTGAATTCAGCATCCTAGCTGTGTTGTTTTTCTTTCTTCTTCCTCCTTTCTTGCTTCTTTTTCTTCTCTCTGTTTCTCTCTCTCTCTCTTCCTCTCTGAAGGAGTCTTGCTATATTGTTCAGACTGGCCTCAAACTCACAGTCCTCTAGTCTTAGACCCCTGAGTGCTAGGATTACAGGTTTGTACCATCAGGTACGGATAGCTCAAGCTTTTTCTTGACTATCTTGCTAAAAAGAAGATGGGGAACCAAGCTTCTATAGCCGTTAGGAGTGTTGAAGAACCAGGTAACAGCATTTCAAAGTCATTTTTACACTAGATTTCTGCCCTGAAGTGTCTGAGACCCCCAAAGAATACTTGTGTGCCTAAGCGCCATCAGATGTATCTGGCTGTTTCATTCGGCTTGCCTCTTTACTTGGGGAAAAGGGCTTGTACGGCTGAACACCAGATATCAGCTAAGATTAGCCTAGACCACTGAGTGAGACTTCACTGAAGGTTCAAGGATATCATACTGGAATTATAACAGAAAAATCCTGACCCTGAATAGGTCAGCCTATTTTTCGAACTGCCAGACAAGATTTCCCAGTGTTACTTTTAGAGCAAGTCTTCCACGCAATTCCCAACTTGGGCATCAGGGCAGTTTCCCTGACTTTGCACACAGTGAGCCAGAGATACCTATACATCATCATCTCCTACAAGAAGAAATCTCAGCAGACATGGGGGCACACCTTTAATCCCAGCACTAGGGAGGCAGAGGCAGGCACATCTCTGAGTTTTAGGTCATCCTGGTCTACATAGTGAGTTTCAGGACAACCAGGGCTATGTAGAGAGACCCTGTCTAAAAAACAAAAACAAAACAAAACAGAACAACTATCCACATCTTTGAGCCTCCCACAAGGTAAAATACCATCTGCAGAGATGTTGCCCACAGGTGGGTATTGTGTGAGTTTTGCTCTTTAGCTCTTCTTCAAGTCTCTCTATCTGGATAGAAACTTAATCTTACCATGGTATTATAAATAAAAGTTTTCAATAAATAAAACAAAACAATGATTCCCTCAGTGATACCTTTGTTTTCAATGGATATTGAAAACTGCATATCATGTCTCAGCAAGAACCTCAATACACAAATCACAGTTAAAATATTATCATAGATGGGCTGGAGAGATGGCTCAGCCGTTAAAGGCTAGGCTCACAACCAAAAATATTATCATAGAAACAAACTAGTATTTTTTCTTTTTTCTTTTTTTTGGTTTTTCGAGACAGGATTTCTCTGTATTGTTTTGGAGGCTGTCCTGGTACTCACTCTGTAGACCAGGCTGGCCTCGAACTCACAGAGATTCATCTGCCTCTGCCTCCCGAGTGCTGGGATTAAAGATGTGCGCCACCAATGCCCAGGCAAACTAGTACTTTCCAAAGAGGATACACTTAGGTATTCACTCATGTGTGTGGAGTCTAGACTGTTACTTGGGGCTTCCTTACCAATGACATTCATTATAACTGAGCATTGTTTCTACTCTAAGAATCTGTGGAAGTCATTGAAGAGCTCATGCTGTTGGTTTTGAAACCATAAATCAACAATTCTGAGATACACTCAAAATAAGCTCTAATGTTACTAGAATTTTAAAAACCACAGAAGTTTGAACTTATCTCAGTGCAACTTTGACATTGATACCATTTCCAGCCTCTTCCTGGCAGATGTGAGCTGGAGAGTGAAAGAACCTAGACACCAGAGGGACCTGCAGGAGGGGAAATGATGGTGTGGTTTTGGTGCCTGGCTTCAAAGGCTGGAGGCAACGCTGAGCTCAGCCCATTTCTTTTTAGTTAGACTAATTTCTGTAAAGAGAGAAAAACCACTCAGCCAAAGTCAAACTTCCCCACATAATTTTTAATTTAACAATGCCCCAGTTTCCAAGATACTATCTTCTAATCTTTGTAACTGTGTGTAGTCAGGGTGAGTGAAGGGCCAGTCTAGCACAAATCAGGTGTCCTACCTTGGAGCTAGGCTTTCTTGATATCTCTCTCCCTCTCCCACCTCTCTCATCCATTTCCTCCTCCTCCTTTTCCTTTTCTTCTCAGTTTTGATGCAGTTGTATTTATTCATTTTGTGACAGCTAGGGACAAAAATGAAAGAAAGACTAAAGGATGTTTTTCCTTTCAATAAATCTTTCAGTGAATGAAATTGAATGTCCTCTGTCCTTGATAACTAGCATGTATGAGCTAGCTATGCACTGTAAAATCAGCTATTTCACAACTTCATGTTTCTCAGATCTGCATGCCCACCAAGGGCAAGTGCCCAGCTTCTCTCTCACCTCGTGCACTGGACCCAACGGCAGTGATCAGCTGTTTAGTTGAGGATGGGGGTATTAAAGTAAAGCCAGATCACTACAGATGGATTTTTTTTAATTTAAAGATCACTATCAATTTTAGGCTAAGTTTCTGATAAATACAAAGACAGACTGGGAGCTGAATTCCCCTTTTAAACAAAATGGTTCCTTCTGAAATCCAGATTGACTAGTTACTCTGTAAAGCTCATTTGTCCTATAAATCAGACTCCTAGAGATGTGGTGAAGTTCCTGTGTGTTCATAGCTTGCAGTGATTTCAGCTCACCACCATATGAGACAGCCCACTACAAAATCCTGATGACCTGTGGAGCTCAAAAGCTCTCCCTTACTCTTAGCCAAACTGACCTCTTGACGCTTTTACCGATTTTGGTCTTAGATCTGCCCTCTGGAGAGACACAAAATAAACCTAATCCCTCTACTAGACAGTAAATCTCCTTATGTGACTGTCTTAAAAGAAATTATGGTGACTCAGGCTACACTTCTATCAAGGATATAATAAACCCAATTACCTTTCCCCTCCTGCTCCTTTAAGTGGCAGAGCAGGCTTACATGAATCTACTTAATATGCTAGACAGGGAAAAACCAATCCCATCTTCCACCACAGTCCCTGGTGCTTTACCCTAGTTTAAGGCTTCTGTAGATTTTCAGTCCTAAGTCCTCAGAAACAAATGAGAGTCCAGCAAAGGTCAGGGCGAGACAGGTAGGCCCCCTTGACTTTCCTCTGTCGTATAACACAGAGACTTCTGCAGACTAAGGTACATCTGGCCCAGAGACATTCTTTTGTCAAAGACCATGGGATCTCAACTTATCCACAGGACTCAGCCCTGACAGTTTGGTTAGATTCAGTTAAACCATACTGTGTGATGAGCATTCCAGGTGCCGAGAGTCTCACTACACTGGAGAAACATCGATTTAAGTGAAAATACTACCAAGTGTGAAATATGTGTAAAAAATACCTTGCAGGCCTGGTGAATGGTTCAGGATAAGGACACTTGCTGCCAAGCCTGATGACCTAAATTCAACCTCCAGAACCCACATGACGGAAGGGAAGAACCAACTCTAACAAGTTATCCTCTGATTACCATCCATATACCATGGCATGTGAAACACACACACACACACACACACACACACACACACACACATTTAATATTTAACTTATCTATCCCATCAAGTTCAATTATTAAATCCCATGTTACATAAAACAATCATAAAACAATTCTTTAAGTCATTTATTATTCTTATTGTATTAATCATTAAGCCAATCAAAATTCTTCCAGAATAGGGAAAGGACAAATAGAATCTCCTGAAAGTTACAGATTGATAAACTCAAGTATTTTTTGGAAAATATTCAACATAGTCCTTACAAGGGAACCAACCAGACTCTGGAATTGTGGTATGTCAGCTGTTTGGGATTGGCCAACAAAACAGGGCCTGGGGACAGAGCTGAGGAATTTCACAGGGAGGGTATCTTGGTCCACATGCTGCTGATCAACCTTGTGATTGAAGTCAACATATAAATCACACCTGGCTAAGCACCTCCATGCATATCCTATGCTACTCTGTTTGAGTTTTAATAAAACTATAGAAGGATTCCAACACACAGGTTACAACAAGTCAGAATATTTCACAGTAGTTTAGATACCTGGAGTTTAATTATGTAAAGAAAAAAAACCATTTTCTTTAAGAACAGCAGCTCATTTCTTTTCAAAATAACTGCTGTGGTTCTTTTGCAAATACAAAGTGTATCTCATCTGTAACTTGGCTGTGAGTTAATGCCATCCCACAGCAGCCCTGGTGATCTTGTTTTCTTCTGGCAAAGTGAACCCATGTCCTGCTCAACAGCTTGGCAGCTTAGTAAACTGAGTACAAAAAAATCTGAGCAAAACTTAAAAAAAAGTTTTGGTGATAAGAACTTACTTTCCTGTTACAACATTTCCTACATGTTTTTGCAAAACAGACGTAGTAAAGGCACCGAAGTTTCATTTTCTGTTAGGGATGAAGACTTTCAATGGCTCACTGACCTTCTTCTTCTTCCTGCAGCTTTCAAAGCTTGGCTCGATGTGCACAAAATTCATTCTTTGAGTCTGTGAGAATCACCAGAGAGAGGTACAATTCAGCAGAGATGTGACATCTACACAGGCACGTAAAAGACAGGAAGACCACGCATGCGTAATGAATCCAAACCCGCTCTCCTGTGGGCTTGTCTGACCTGGCACAGAACCCTGCTGCCAGTGTCAGAGTCTGGCATTCCAAGTTCAGGAGCTCAAGTCCCCTGGAGGCAGCCAGTTTCTTGGATTCAGCACATCCAACTCTTGAGGGAAGTCTTGTTGATCAAGGTGTGGGGTCAACAAGAAACAAGTAAGGGTCAAGAGAGATCTAGGGCACTGATTACTTAGAGGCAGACATAATGTCTGCCTCTACTTCAGCCAGCAGAGACATACAGCCTTATCTTTTCTGCAACTATTTAGAGCAACAGCTTAAAAAGGACAGTGACTCCTTGTGCTGAAAAAAAGTGTATACTATTGATTACAGGGAAGTTGATCAGTGAATTATTACTAATTATCATTCCCACAGGGCTTAACTTTTTGGTGAAGGTCTTAGGACTTATTTTTGCTCAACTGAATGAATAACTGGAAGTATATTTGTTCTGTCTGACAACCCTTGATTCCTGGAGTTCCAAGAAAGTTATAAAAGACACTGTATATTAATTATTCAGCTTCTAGAAAGGAATAATGCCCCCCACCATCTTCTGGTCCTTTGGAAGGAAAATGGAATATAGTATATTTTAAAACCAGACTACTCAGAATACCTAGAAGAGACTCCAACATTATCCCTCTTTTCTTTTGTGGTAGATGTATATTATTGATATGGTGTAACTACAAAATAGTGAGAATGTCAGCAAAGCCTTTAAGTACCATTTAGAAACAGAAACTGGAGCCAGGCATTGGTGGCGCATGCCTTTAATCCCAGTACTCAGGAGGCAGAGGCAGGCGGATCTCTGTGAGTTTGAAGCCAGCCTGGTCTACAAAAAGCTAGTTCCAAAGCCACAGAGAAGCCTTGTCTCAAAAAACAAAACAAAACAACAACAAACAAACAAAAAACCCACCAGAAACTGGGTCTGAAAATGCATTCATTTATCCTTTAATTTTAGAAAAGGCTTGAATTTCTGATCACAGAAGCCACAAACTCCCTTTAACCTTAGCTAAAACACTGACTAATAAAATAGTGAAAGTTTGAGGAAATCAGAGCTGCTTATCAAATCACTGGTTTGTTTATATGTGCAGAAGTTTGAAATGACTTGCTCTAAAGGAAAATAAATAGCAACATCAAAATGCAAAACAAAAGCCAGCTTTTTAATCTATGAGATGAATTTGTTATAGTTTGGTTGTAAGAAAAAGCATTTGATAAAGTTCATCCTGTCTGGAAATGTTGCTGTGACATGCTACGCCGCTTCTGTCAGTCCTGGAACACATGAAAAAAGAGGAAGGGTGGGGGAACAACTCTAAATGACAACCTCGTCTGATGCTGTAGCCAAGGTGTAGTCTCTTTTTCTTCCATTGTCAAGTAGAGTTTTATTTTAAATTGTTTATTTTAAAATAAACAATTTTATTTCATTGAGCTAATCAAAATATATTCAATAATGTATAGTTTTATGGTAACCAGTGAAACCTGGGGATTCTCAATATTTATAGGAAACTGGTATGATCAAAGGCAAGCATGTTATTAGCCTGGGGACACTTCCACATAGATAAATGATCTATATGAATTGTATAAGCCAGCACATTCACCCACATAAAGTTATGTTTGTGCCTTTGATGCCAAAAGTCAACTGGCAAACAATTAAGCAGACCAGACATATCATCTCTAATCAATATTAGATGTGAATCAAATGATTTCTAGTGCATATATGTGTGTGTAATAAAAAGATTTGCCTTTATGAGTGTTTGCCTGCATGTATGTGTGTACATCACTCGTATGCCTGGTGCCCGAGGAGACTGAAGGAGCTCATACTTGGACCTGGAGTAACAGACAGCTGTGAGCCACCATGTGGGTTCTGGGAGCCAAATCCTGTTCTCTACAAGAGCAACAGTGCTTTATCCACTGGAGAGCCTTTGTATGTACTTTTTTTTGACATAATGTCTCATATTTATCCCAGGCTAGGCTTGAGGCCAAAAATGACTTTAATTTCTCATCCTCATGCCTCCATTTCCCATGTTTTAGAATTTCAGGTGTATATCACTACTAGTCGATGTAGTGAACCTGAGCCACTGTCATATTTTAAAATACGGTTTTAAGGAGTTTCTTTGCTAAGCATGGTGGCTCATATCTCTAACCCCAGTTCTTGGAAGACTGCAGGACTGTTGGAAGTTCAAGGCCACCTTGGAATTTAGTGTCTCAAAGAGAGTAAAACTTAAAAATTATGAAATGATACTTCTCATATTTAGATTACTAAGAGGCTACCATGATTAATTACCAATAGAATCCAAGGAATACATAATTCACATGAGCCTAAAAAACTCAGATAATATACTTTCTGAGGAGTGGCACTTAACTAGTTTTCATTGTTGATTTAGTAACATTCTCTACTTAAGAAGCCTAAGAACAGGATTTGTATTATGCATAGATAGGGCAGCCACCTGATCTGGCAGTATTTGGATGGCATTATGAAGGGTCATTTCTTTGTAAATGGCTATTATTTTTTTTTCCTGTATATTTATTGCTTTAAAATGCTTTTTTATTTGAATATTGTCCTAGCTTTTTCACTTTGGCCATCTTTTCTGCTCTCTATCTGCACCCCCCATTTTACCCTCTGCTATATATCCTATTTTATCCTTTGCTTATATTCATAAGCAAAGAGGCCTCTCAGTTATAAGTTCAATGTAGATCCCTTCTGAATGCCACATTTGCATGTGTATCTAACAGCCCACTATAAGTCTCTACAAGGTCATTCCAAAGAAAACTCAATTATATTAAATTCATCACTTGCTTCTCTAAGCCTTCTCCCAATCTTTGTTCTCACTTAAAGTATTCAAGATAAAAGTCTTGAGACTGGGGGAAAACTCATGTGGCCTCAACCCTAGGCAAACAACTACTGGCGACTAAGGGATATTAAGTGGGAGAAATAGTCTTCCCCAGGGAAGAGTTATACCAATTGGTTATCCAATACCAAATGGTCAGCCCTGAAAACACACATACTAGTAGCATTATATGGACTGAGCATGTTGTATTTATAAATTTAGGCATATCACACACATGCACACGTGCGCATGTGTACATGCACACACGTTTCTTTAATAGAAATTAAAAAGAGATCATGAATTTGAAAGAGAGCAAAGGAGGGGTGGAGTATGAGAATATTTGGAGGGAAAAAGGGGGAAATAATGTAATCATATTTTAATCTCAAAAAATAATAAATTTAAAGAAAATCTGTGATTTCTTTGTCATTCTCTAACATTTCTTAAATCCTATTGATTTGATCTCAGTAGTGCTCAATCCATCTGTGTGGCCAACCAAAAAACAAACTTGGTGGCATCATTACAGACTTTTTGTCTCATACTGCTTTGTTTGTGCTTTTTCTTTGTTTATTGGTCTTATGTTTTCCAACTTTGTGTTTCTGGGTTTGTATGTGGGTGTTTCTTTTTTGGTTTGTTTTTGTTTGCTTGTTTTCTTCTAAAGAGAGAAAGAAAGGACTTGGAGTTGGATGGATAGTGAAGTGGGGAGGATAAGGAGGGGCGGGGAGCGCATGATCAGAATTTATTGCATGAAAAAGTTAAAACCCATCTGTGTTTTTCTACTATATCTACTTTAGTGCAGGCCAATATCATTTCTTCCCATTTAGTTACTGTTTATCCAACCTACTCTTCAGTCTGCAGTATAAGTAGTGTTGAATACACCAAATCTGGCTAGTCATTCTTCTATATCATTTGTCACCGCACAAGTCCCCCTCATCAGGATGAAGGTCAGTGTTTGCCTACCCGACGCTTCTCTACAGCTTCATCTTGCCCTCACACTATTTGTCCTCTTGCAGATCTCCAGACATGTCCCGTTCTTCCCCTCCAGAGTCTGTCTTTAATGCTCAGTCCTATTATTTCCTCTTCCTTTCATCTGGCACATGGCAGCCCTACAGTTTCCACTGCCTGCATCCTTCCTTGCCATTCTCACAGCTTTGTAGTACTTCCTACAAGGAATTATCAGTCCTTCTTATCAGCCTTCCTCTCAGTATAACTCCTTGTAGTGATAAACAATATTTTTGTCATCTTCGCATTCTTAGCTCCTAGCCTAGAGCAGGAGCCCTTTAATTATTGCCTGAATAGAATGAATGCATGCAACACTGAAACTGACCAACTGAATGTGTTTTTGCAGGTACACATGTATGTGTGTGCATATGTGCTCTCCACCTTGCTTATTTGTTTGTTTTTGAGGTGGGGACTCTTACTGGCCTGAAGCTTGTAGATTAGGCTAGGCTGTTTGGCCAGCAAGCTCTATGGATCTGCCCATATCTACCTCCTGAGCCCTGGGATTACCAGCACATACACTATGTATGGCTCTTTTTTTTTAACAAAAAAAAAGTTCTGGGGATTAGATTAAGGTCTCTAGGTTTATATGACAAGGCTTATAGTGAATGAGATATCTCCTAGCCCTTGAAACTGATTTTTTAGCCAGGTACTAGGATAATACATTTAGTAATATAAAGAAAATAATCAAAGTCAGTTTTTCAGGGTTGAGCTTTGTGAAGAATCATTAAGCACATGATTACAATATAATACAACACTATATAGTCCAAACAGACATCTATTCTTTCAGCAATTACAGTGTGTGACACAAATATAAATGAACAAAACAGATAAAAATCCTTGTCCTATGGATTGTGCAATCTGGTTATATTACTTTTTGGTTTAATAATTTCCAATGGCATCATTACAGTCTTGGCTGTTGGCTTGGCAGTAATGCTTCTTTACAACTACTGTTTCCTCAGGCAGGCCAGGTGAGAGCTTCCTGAATCCCTTGAGTATCTTCCAGTTAGTCATGACTTTTCAAGTCACATCTGGATACAACTTTGTGCTCTGATCTCATACCCTTCCCT